TTTCCCCTTTTTTTCTTTTTCTTTTTTTCTTTTTCTTTCCCGTCATTCTCCCAGCCAAAAGCCGCCTTCGAGCCTTTTGATTTGATGTAGCAAAGAGTGTGTGTCCAGATTATCTGAAATTGACACTGAAGAAGGTAAGGGTGGAAACCGGTTTCGTTTTTCAGAGGGTTGGAAGGCTGTACTGTGCCCGCCGCAGCAGCTCCCGCTCCGGTAGTAGGAGGGTGGGGGAGTGATTATGTATGCACCAGCTAATTCTTCCATCAAAACTTCTTGTCAGCGATGTCAGGATTATTTTTTTTCCTTTTTATAAAAACACTTGATGTTTCAGGAAGTGTTAATCCCTGAAGATTGGGGGATGAGGGAGGGGGTAGGGAAGCGGTGGGTGGGGATGATATGTTTCTTGAGCCTGGGGAAGGCACCCATGTAGAGCCGCTTGCTTGTCTCCACTGGAGTTGGGTTTGTTGTGGAGCTGGGGACAGGAGGCGGAATTCTTTGATGCATGAGAGAGACAGACCCTTAGACCTTGTACTGCGTTCAATGGAAGTTCCTAAGACCATGCAGGATGAATGGAGAAAAGTTTGTTTTAGCCTATGATTTCAAGGGTGTTTAAGCCAGCTCGTGGGATGACAAAAAAAATAGAGAATTCTGAAATTGGTCTTTAAAAGACATAGAAAGAAAGAGATGGATACCTGGATAAAGCTTTACAGGTGGTGGGGCGACTGGGTTGCTTCTTTTCTCCCAATTTTTCTTGATCTAGTATCTCAGGTTCTATATACAGTACCCAAACCTACCTTTCCTCGGGTAATAGAAGTTGCCAGTTCTTCAAAGGGAGAGATTTAGTTTCTTCATCAAATGACAATGAATAGATTCACTTCTGTGAATATAGTGCTACAAATTTAAAACTTTTTGTGGCTCTTTAAACTAGTACAGATGGAAAAGACTAACCTAGCCCGGAAACAATTTCCCAGAAGAAAGAAAGAGAAGAAAATGAGGTGATCAATGAGGGAAAACTGTGAACTATAAATGTTTCAGTTTCATATTTTAAAAATATTGCCTAGATTTAGGATCTGGGTTCTTCCACAATCAGCCTTCACCACTCACTGGACCACCCAGCCCACCCAAGCTTATGAAAGCCAAGACTAGTGAGGAGGGGGCTGGGGACTGTTGCTTCTACTCCCACCCCCACCTCTAGCCCCTTTTAGAGTTAGTGTGTGTGAGAGAAGATATTAAAGAGGTATCTGTTGTTTGGCAATTTTGCTAAGTCTGTCTTCATTACTTTGCCGCTGTGCATTTGCTAATTTGGAGGCCCGGCCATTGACAAGCTTGCTCCATACACCTGCAAGCAATTTGCCGGCTCCGGTACCGGAGAATTGCAGAGATGGCAGCTCGCACCTATTTGATTTTTTTTTTCCTTTTCTCAATGCACAGCAAATTTGGCTTTCAGTGCGTTATCTCTTTTGTTAATGCAAAAAGATTCCCTGGGCGAAAAAATTGCTCATAATTACCAGAGAGATGGGGAAACTGCATTAGAATAAATAAACCTGAAATTACTGTAATTATGTTGTGTTTGATGGGCCCGGCTTGTAATCAAGAAGAGAATACAGTGAAATGATGCTGACCCTCTTGGGTTTGCAGCTGTACGCGCACTTTGGGGTCTTTTTTTGCAGAAAAGAGTCATTTTGATAATCATTAAGCTGTGTGTAACCTATTTCAGAAGTGTTTTAAAATGAGGTTCACATTTTTTGAACAAGGGAAAAAATCCCAAAATTGCATTTTGCCATTACAGACTCATACATAAGGAAAGGTTGTGTTTTCTAAGTGACAATTGTTAAGACATAATATTCGAAATCAGTATTTAATCATTATAATGAGGTATTGTTTAAATATAACCACCTTTAGATTATTCATAGTTTAATTAATATACTCATTATGAAAATCTTTGAATCAGATATTTGATGAACTACTTGTCAGTAACAAGGCAGCATTAATTAGGCCTATATTGAGATTAACATTTTTTAAAAGTACAACCGCTTATAATTATAATAGAACCTAACTAAAGACCGCCTTCCTTGAGCTAAAACTAATAATTTCTCTATTTGAACTGTTAGCAAGAGATTATTAAATTAGTATAAGCTAATATCTCAAAGTATTAAAATTGGCTTGACCAAATAGATTTTGCCTGTGGCTTGAGCCCTTGAGTCCTAGCTGTTGTCTGGGGAACCCGAGTTAGAGGAGTGAGAGAAATCTCCCCTTAGCAAAGTCACATATCCCGAGGGAAACTGAATCCAGAAAGGCCTCTGCCCAACTCTTGGTCCCAGCCTGAGAAATGGTTGGCTCTCTGTTTTGAGGCCGGTGAGTCGGCCCCAACCTGGTCTCCGGGGTCTGATCTCTTCATTTGCACTCTTGATTCTGAGGGCTGCCAGGAGAGGAAAAGTCCCAATTTCCAACTCAGAACCAACGTAGAGGTCCCGGCTTCATCCTGCACTACCTCCCCTGCTTCATCCATTACGCTGCCCCCTCCCAAGCCCCGCCATGTCCTCCTCCCCTCCCCAAAGGGCGTCGGAAGAACCCGACGCATCTGATCTTTCACCATCACCAATTGAAAAATGGGTGCTTGTCACAACACAGATCACTGCTTTCCCAGCTCTGCTCCCCACCGCGCGCTGGAAAGGGCCCCCCAAAGGCGGGGGGCCAGCCCCTGCCGCAGCAGCGTCGCAAGGCGGATGCGAGGGAAGCGGGAAGCGCTCCTGGCTGCCTGTTGGGACCCGCAACTTTCCGAAGCTGCCTCTGCCGAGTCTGGGGTCAGTGGTGAAGACTGGGGCTGGTCAGGAGCACGGGCCACCAAGCGGAGAAGGGAGTCAGTCTGGTTTTAGTCTGTGGGAACCCGCGTTCTCCTGGAATGAACTGAATCCCAGCTCTCTACGGAAGGTTTCTCTATAATGACCTGGCTTCCGGACTTCAGGGCTACAGAGGGGTCGAAATGCTTCACTTTGGTCAGCTCTGGGTTCCTAGAAGTCAGTTGAGCCCACCTACCCCTCTCTTGGCACTTCCACTTCTTGGATGGGTAGAGAAAAACCCATGATCATTAGGTAAAAAGTGCCTTTCTGCTTTGAAGGGGCGCGGGTGCTTCCCTGGGACTGTGCCTTGTTTCCTGGAGCTCACTGATGGGGGTGGTCTGACAAACTATCCTTCAAGTCCCGTCTGGGGGCCCCCCCCCCGCCCCCCATAGGATACACTGCCGGTAGGCAAAAGCGGAAAGCCAGATGGAGCAGAGTATAAGAGCAAAGCATGGTGTCCCTTGCTTTCAGGCTTCCCAGAGGTGGCTGGGCATGGAGGGAACTCCAGTGTCTCAGCCTTTGAACTCTGCTTTCCTTTCCCAGCCACATCTCACCTTTCTTTTGGTTTCTGAGGGAGGGGCTGCCCTGCCACACCTGTTCCCCAGCCCCCTTCCCAGACCTTTCCTTGGCACTCCATCCCCATCCCACCCACTCAGGTAGAGACCAGATACCTTGAAGGCTGAGCCAGCAAGTCAGGTTAAACAGGCCTATTGGAGCACCCCACAGGCCCTGGGATGATATTGATTTGTCTGGAGTTGGGTGCCCCTAATCCATCCCAGAAAAGTTAACTGTCCCCTATTATCTGTATATATGGGATGTATATATGGGATGGGAGCTTGGGCCCATCCCCTCATCCCACACCCAGCACAGGAGACAGCAGGTCTTTCTTGAAACCATAATTTTACTGTCTCAAAGAAACTTTATAACTTATTTACAAAGTTCTTTTTTCCCCCAAGATACAAAGCAATAAGTTAACATTCTCAATATAAAACTAAACTTTGACATAGAGAACACAAAACACAGTTGATTTCAATTGGTCACATTTTCCAAATTTCACAAGTAGAATGTCAAGATTCTCATTTCACAAAGCATCAGGTTTTACAGCCACACACAACAGAAAAAAAAAAAGCTAAGATTGTGCAACATGTTTACAGAACAATAATAATAATAATAACAATAATAATATGTACAACTATTAGATCCTGCACTGGAGACTATGCCTTCAGGGTGGTGACTGGCATTCTGTGGTCAAACCTCTGGGGATTGTTATAAAGCTGTTTTTGCTTTCTTTAAAGCCCTATCGGGATTAGGGCGCTTGCTCACTCTTGCCTGTTTTTTCACTGCTGCACATAGGTCCTGTCTCTTTCAAATTAGGATTTTCTTTTAGTCCAGGCAAAGCGACTAAGCGAGTTGTTCTTCCCGAGTTGACAAAACCCTACTTGAAGTAGTAAAAAAAATTCGAATAATTCAGCTTCAACCACTCCATACCAGCGAAATACAAAAGTTACTGTATAAATTAAAATTCACTGCGTCCTCCTTGTTCGTTTTTTCCGGGTGAATTTAAGGTAAACAGTGCGTTTGGACAGTGTGCGCTCACACTCCACAGAACCTGGAATTGGCCAACACTCAGCCTCAGGTGAAGTCCATTTTTTCAATAAATAAAAACCCCTCCCTCCAATTTCCCCCAATTCTCAAACAAGCTACACAGGTGGTCAGGTAGGGACTAGGAGAAGGCCTGAAAGGACAAAACGACCCAGGATCCGGAGATGGGCGGCCCAGGGGGCCGCGTGTGGCTCAGACCTGGTGACTTTGCAGTGGCGGCAGAATAACAGCAGACGACGAGAGGATCTTTACTCAGCGCACAAACAGAGCAAAAGGAGACAAGAGACGGACAGGACAGAAAAGAACTTTTGCTTTTTCTACATTGTTTTTGTTTTTCCTGATAGTCCCACAAAGCTGAGGGTCGGAGGGTGGGATCGAGCGGGTTTGTCTTGCTGCTCCGGCTGTCTCGGGTGACCATAGCTGCGCTTCCAGGCCACTCTGCAGTCACCGCGTGGCCCAGGACGGGATTCCGGCGAGAGTACTGGCGCTGGGGAGTCGCTGCGTCGGACCTCCAGGGACTCCAAGGAGGAGGCGGGCGTCATGCCTTCACTGTTTCTTCTTTCCCTCTGGCCCTCCTCCGGGCTCAGGGCACACAGACAGGGTGGATGAACCTGGAGGCGGGAGGGGCCCGGGCCAAGGGAGACGGGAAGGAGGCGGGAAGGTGCGAGTGGGCAACCTCACATGAGTTGGGGCTGCTGCATAGCTTCTTGGTGCGCGGAAGGATACCACGACGTGTAGCTGGGGATGTAGGAGCCCGCGCTACTGCCTGAGCTCTTCCCGGAGGAGGAATTAGGGTTCCAGCCGGGTGGTACTGGTGGGGAGCCTGCAGACAGAGCCCGGCCGTTGGCTAGCGCGCTACCCTCCAGAGCCGCCCCGCCCTGCTTCATCAGCTTCTTGAACTTGGAGCGCTTGTTCTGGAACCAGATCTTGACCTGCAAGATCGGACAACAACGTGACTCGTGATGGGATCACTGAGTCTACCTAGGTCTACCTAGGAGGAGAGAAGTGAACTACAGGAGAGCAGAGATAGGAGGCCCCGCTGCCCTGCGAAGGCTGGCAGCTCCCTGCTGCGGGAGCAGAGACGTCCCTCCCTCGGTGAAAGCCAAATACTATAAAGCTGGACGACCGGCGCTGGCCACCTCTTGAGCAGCTCTCTGAGAGCCAGGGGGGCGTGGTGGTAAGGGGCCCGCAGGGAATCAAGGCCCAGTCCGACCTTGGCAACTTTGGATAACGCAACACCTGCACAACACCTCGCAATTCTAATATCAATATCAATAAAGAAATAAAAAAAAAACCTAGATAGGAGTGGAGAAAATTTATTTGTAAATCGACCGCCTTCTCTTTGCGCCGTCCTTTTTGCCCTTGAGTGAGTTGGGGACTGAATGAGGAGGCCATAAAGTTTTGCTTAACTTTTCTTTGGATTGAAACCAACCTTTCCCAAGGGTCTGTTTGCTTTTCCCAACTCCAATCCAAATCCCGGGCCGGACGTTGGAAACCCGCGCCAGCCGCGGGCAGAACCGCCCAGAACTCCCCGGAGTCTTAGAGAAATCCAAAAAGGAAAGTCTTGTTTCCTCTCTAGAGTTTGGGCCTTGGGAGGTGAAAGGGCAGGGGAAAGGATCCCCAGTGCCACAGGGTGAAGAGGGAGACCAAGGCGAAGGCCCACGCTGCAGTGATTAGCAATACACTTTAAAGGCAAAGGAGGGATTAAGTCCTGCGTCTATTGTTCCAGTTGTTCGGGCACGTGTGACCTCAGAATCCCCAAACAAAACGTCTGGGGCAATCTTTCCTGCTCCCTAATCAGATTGTCCAGGGTCGAAGGACCAGGCGGCAGGAAAGTCGGTGTACAGACAGCAGCGACCGAGCTCGGGCAGAGAGAATGAAGGTGGATGGGGACTGGGACCCTGGGTTAGGGAGGGAGGGAGGGAGGGACGGACGGACAGACGGACACACACACACTCACACACACTGACACCTCGAACCTGAAGCCCAGTGAGCTAAAAATGAAGCCCCGGGCTCAGGCCCGCAGCGTGAAGCCTGCTTGACGGAGTGGCAGCGGCGAGGTACCTGAGTCTGCGTGAGTCCCAAGGAGGCCGCGAGCTCCGCCCTCTCGGGCAGAGCTAAGTACTGAGTTTGCTGGAACCTCCGGTTCAAAGCCTGCAACTGCAAACTGGAATAAATTGTCCTGGGTTTGCGGATCTTTTTCCCCTTGCCATTGAAGCGCACTTCACCGCCTTCCACCACCGTGCTCTTCTCGGAGTCCGCCCCTGGAGGGACAGCAGAAGCGGGGACTGTTGTTAAGGCAGGGGCCGCTTTTAGTGTGGAGAGAGGAGAGCGAGTAGCTACCGAGGGGACAGCAGAGGCTGGGCCAGGGAAGAAAACGTTCAAGAAACTGAAGCCTGGGAAGTGTCCTCCAAATCCGAGGGCCGGTCCCAGGCAGCTGCAGGCGGGATGGGGCCGTTCCCAGGAGCGCAGCTATTGCCTTTGCAGGGGAAGTTTGCTATTTTTGCAGGCGGTAGTTGAGGTTTAATTACCCTTAATTGCATACATTGTTTATAGCGCTACGCAATAAATAATTAGAGACTAATACGTGCACATGTGGGTTTCTGTTTTCCAGCAGGGCATTGTGTGCTCGGCGCACCGAGCCGCTCAGAGGCCCAGCCAGTGCCCGGAGACGCTCTCGGATTTATCCTTTGCTACATGGTTGCGAATTGGGCGGATTAAAAAAAAAAAAAATCTTTGCTATGACAAGGATCCACAGATTGATATCCGAAACCTCTACTGCTCCCGCGCCCTCCCCCCCCCCCCCCCCCCCCCCTCTCCCCCCCTCTCTCTCCCTCTCTCTCTCTCTCTCTCTCTCTCTCTCTCTCTCTCTCTCTCTCTCTCTTCCCCCTCCCTTTCTCTCCCTCTTTCCTTTCCTTCTCTCCCAGGCTAGCGCACGTACCTGGGTCCTCCAGGCGGCTCTGGGCGAGGCTGGCGCTGCCCGGGTAGGACTGCACCGAACTGATGTAGGGACTGGACGCGTGGCTGCTGACCGAGTTGACGTAGGGGTAGCCCAGCGGTCGGGAGAAGGACGAGGCCGAGCTGTAGGCACCGTCGGGCTGCGAATGGCCCGCCGAATGTAAACAGTGCATGGAGTAGTGCCCGTGGGACATGGGAGAAGGAGACATTTGCTGGTTGGGCGGCCCAAACTCCATAAACACCGCCTTGCCCGACACGGGGCTGTTGAGACTTTCTGGCATGGTGGTCATGGTCATCTCTTCTCGCGGGGTCTGGGTGTGGGTCTCTCTCTCTTCTGCTTCCCTTTAGGGGTCTCTATGTTTCTCAGGACAGGAAGGAACCCAATTTAAGCGGAACAAGGGTTTTCACTTTCCATTCATAAGAAAATGGAGTTTGTCTCTTTGAAAAGTCTAAGCATGATGCTCCCGAGCTCCCCAAACTCGGTTCAAAGCTTTGACTCAGCCAAGGTCATAAATATTCATGAGCTGGCGGAGCTGATTGGTCCGCTGTCTTGCATAATCACCGGGGATTGGTCCGAGTCGCTCGGGCTCCGCTGGACTAGAGCCGGCAAGGCGGCCCGGCCTCTGGAGGGACTGTTCCACACTTCCCGGCCCGGGCTCCTCTGCAACAGAGCGCGCGTTGCGGGACGCACAATAGGCTGCAGCGTCCGCTCTGGGACCTCGGAGGCCCGCAGCTCTTCAGCCTCCCACCTCCCTTGCGTGCTCTCTTCCCAGAAACCAACCAGCTGCTCCCCGCTGTCGCCCGCTTCCCTACTGTCCCCACTCTTCGTCCGCCCCCAACGCGGAGAACTCAGGACCGCTTCTCGTCACTGCTACCCAGTCGGGTGCTGAGCTTAGGGCGGCTCTAGGGTTTGGTCGCAGCCTATGGATCGCGGAGTAGCGCACTGAGGGGCGACCAAGGCAGCCAACAGAACTGCAGTCTTCTTGACCGTCCTGTGCCTAGTTCAGAGCCCTCCCGGCCGCGCCTCCCTGGCCCAGGTCCGCTTTGCCACATCCCTGGGGTCGGGGTTTGAGGGCCCTCCAGACCAACTCACTCGGCCGCCTCGCCGCTGCTGCCGCCGCTGCTGCTCCCAGGGGCCAGCTCGCATCGCTCCAGGCCCAGCTGGTCAATCCAGCTCGAGGCTGCACCGGTCTGATAAAAGCAGTGCGCGTGGAGAGCCAGGAACCCGCGCTTCTCCTCCCAGGAAAAGCGGCCGCACCGCCTCCTTCCCCCAACACACACACCCTCTTTCCCTCCCAACCTTCCAGCGCCTCCCCCTCCCCTCTCCACTCCCTCTGAACGGTGCGCCCCGGGCTCACTCGCCCAGAGGGCGCGGCACTGCATGGAGCCGAGGGGCCGATCTGCTCAGCTCTGCCCGAGCCGCGGGCGCCAGGTGGTCATTTTTTTGCTTCCCAAGGTCTGGCAAGAATACCCGGGGGTTAGGAGTCCTTGGAGGACATCGAAACCCGCGGCAGAACCAGGCCTATGTAAGGCTTGAATATCTGTGCAGTCATATCTCTCTTTGTCGCCCATTATTTTAATTCCAGTGGCCAAAACGGACATCAGTGGGCCTCGGAGCAGGGCTGGTTGAGGTAACAGTTGCCACCGGTGCCTCGGTCTTCTGGGATGTTAGATACAGAAAAGCGCACAAAAGGCCCCCGTGCCCCCACTACTACCACACAGCCACCCCACGCGGCGTGGCGCACACTATGTTGGCTGCTAGGGACTGTTGGTCCCCCATCTCGCCAGCCCTACGGTGAATCCCAAATTACTTTGTTAGATAATTAGAAAGTGTTGATAATTATTTCTTTCATAATTTAACGGTGTGACGGGAACGGGGAAATGATCTTGTGAAAGTTCACACGTGCAGATGTATTAGTTACTGATTCATTTGATTAAATGGTAGTCTCAAGTGCTCAGATCCGCAGCTGAAGGCTCCCCATTAGCATAACACTGATGTTTAATTTTCATACGCATAATTAGCCATATATTTAACACTAATAGCAACATGCAGCCTTTCAGCGTTAAACAGCCGGGGATTTGATCTGGCCTGAGCTGAACCTTCGCTACCGCACCTTCCCCTGTCTGAAGTGTGCAATGATCACAGGACAAACCTCTGTAATCAAGCACATTTTGGCAGAGGGAACACCAATAAAAATGAACGTTCAAAACAAATTACATCGGTGCTGTCGTTACAGATATTAGTAGAGAGGGGGTTTCTCTCTCTTTTTAACTTCTGTAGCAGCAGCTCCAGCCCGCGGAATTCCTCTCCATTGAATTAAGGGCACAGTGCAGGGGCAGAAATATTTCAGGCAGCGTGGTTGGAGCAAAAAAGAAAAACAAAAGCAAAAAAAAAAAACAACCAATCCTCCTCCAAACCAATAACGGGTTTGCCAACGCTTAAAAGATTTTTTTCCCCTCTTAATCACCAAACCACACGGTGAGGCTTTGTAGCAACAACCAGTTAATGACTCTGCCACTAGACAACTCCTGGAGCCTCTTGGCTGTCTTGATTTCCCTGTCGCACTTGTGGTTTTAATTGCTCCTTCCTCAAGCCTTTTTTGGGGTGTTGGAGTGCCACGCTGTGCGCCCAGCACAGCCGTTCGGATGCAGCCCAAGCCCCGGGTCTCTCGCGCTGGCCTTGCAGGCCCTGCCCACGTAAGTGATCTCCATGGCTGGCACGGGGTCGAGGTTGGGACCGGGGAAAATCAGAATGTTGTCTCCCTGAGTTCAGAGAAAGGCATGAAGAAACCCCCCCCCCCCCCAAGACTCGGCCGCCTAGGGCTAGTTTATCCCAGGGAATTGAAGGAAAAGGGGAGGAGAGGGCCGCACGTTGCCAGTCTTCCTTGGTGCTGGGTCTTTACATGTCTATGAGGGGGATGGTTGAGTTCCCGGTGCAGGGGACCAGGCTGGCTCCAGAAATAAAGGTTTGGCATGCACTCCCTCGGGATAAGGTTTCAGAGCCTAGCTTAATTTAGAATTGAATTGTATATAGGCAAGGGAATGTCTATCTATACTCCAGAATTCCCACCCCAGAGAAGCAGGTTTGGGGAGAGAGGCTGAGTTACCCCCTCTACAGTGCAGCCAGCTGGGCCTTAGTTAGCTCCTCAATGTGCAATGTTATCTCTACTCTCTGAGTGGATCCCTCCCACCGCCCCACCTCTAAGGCTACACCTGTTCTAAAATGCCAGTTTGCTTAGACCTTTGTCCAAGCTCTGAGAAGAAACAAAATTCTATTGATACTGAAGGTTTGGGATTCTGAGTAGAACCTATTGGAGTCACCTCAGGACCAGTCCTAATGGTATAAATCTAATCACACTTGGCTCTGGGTTAAGATTAGAGGCCAGTTCAGCTGGCAGAGGGGAGAGGAGGCATAGACAAGATACTTTTAAAACGTACTTCCTAATCTCAACTTCAAAGCATGTGAAATGGAATTCATTCTAATTCAAGTTTGTTTCCTACAGAGCTGCTGAGTAGTGGCAGATGGATACACACACACATACCTTTAAGTTAGTCATTTTAATAAACAGGATTATATACCTGTCCCATAAATACCTTCACCTCAAAATAATTGCTGCAGGAGCAGCGTGTTACCCCAGTGGTTGGTAAAATCCTGTGGTCCTAATAAAACTATCCTTAGGGAACGAACCTCAGAGTAAACTGATCTGCAGATAAAGGTACTGTGCTAATGGCTGCAATCCGATTGCTCTAGGAGACAAGTGAAGTCATTCTCTGGCAACCCTCTCCCAAGGTCAGCTAGGCCCTGTTCCTCTCTTCAAAATCCAAATTGTTATGGGGAAACTGCCCTGATTGGTCTTCTTTCTGCCTGGCCAACTCCAGAGCATCTCAAAAGTTTATCTATGGATCTTGTAAATCCTCAACCCCTCCCTCAACTTTTCCAACTTTCAGACCCACTAGAATCAGAATCACTTCTATCCCAAACTCTACATCCCTGGAGAAATGGAGTCAGAGGGTTGGGGAGCCATGCAGCAAGTCTAGAGTTCAGGAAGAGCTGAGACTCATCACTTTTAGAACGACGTATTGTCCTCAGTTTCCTGTCTCCTGTCCTACCACTCTGGGTGCCATCAAGACAAGCTAGTCCCCAATATAGCCACCTATATCTGTGGGGGCAACTACAGGTGACCCCAACCTACATTTAGCCAATGGCAACTTTGAAAGGGCCACTTTAGTAGAAACAAGTTAGCACAATCACTGGCCACGGTGACATCCTCACTGGACTGGTTCCTAAAACCATAGGCAGAGGGGACCAGTTTCCTTTGTGGACTACTAGAGGCCCAGTCCCTCCCCTCCCTTGAGCCGAGTGTGAACAGATCTTAGAAAGCAAGAGGAAGGGAAGGGAAATTGCTCCCGGCAGGAATGGCCCTTGGGAAACAGCGTGGACAGGTGGGTTCCTGCTCCTGAAACGGGTTGGAGTTGCTGGCAGAAAGAAATAGCTAAAGCTGCCAGCTCCAGTCCAGGCCAACTAAGCCCTTGTCTCCAAAGTGCCCATATCTCCTCTCGCTGGGATTCTGTGCGCCTTGGGAATACTTGACCTTTGTGGCCCTTGCCGAGCTCAAGCGCGGGTCCCATCAGGGTCAATATGGGAGATATCTGTTAGGGACTAGGGGAACTGCTCACCAGCCAGATACTATTTACATCGGGGCGAGTGGGCCCGCAGCGCGAATTTCTAGTGCAACAAACGGTCTAGTGTGCTTGTGTGTGCATGAGTGGGGAGTGAGAGGGTCTGAACCCAACCTCTGGGAAAGCCACGGAAGACTGGATGAGGGGGGAAGGAACAGCCGCAGCAGACCAGGAAAGTCTTGTTTCTGGAGTGATAAAGCCCTGAAGAAGGGCCAGGCCCAGGGTCCACAGCCAAGAAAATGTTTGCAATCAATGCTTCGGAGGGCAAATCTTTTCATGGAAAGCGGCGTGAAAGGGAAATGAACCTAAGGGGCTTGGTTGGGAGCAGGTGTTGGCCTCTGGAGCGTCCTCAGGGACGGCCAACGTGAAATTCACAAGGGAAAAAACGGATTAAAAAAATGCCATCTAACACTTAAGTTCGGGTTTTTCTTTCCGCGCGTGCAAAAAAGTTCAGAGACTCAAAAACCAATCACCTACCCTCTCTCCCCGTGGTAACTGTCAGACTCAAGGAGCTTAGACACAATGAGTTTACGAGGTTTTTCATTGGGGCAAATTCTGGACAAGGAAAAGGGAAAACTGCTTCTAGAATCTCTCCTCTCCCAAACGACTGCGTCCGCGTTCCTCTCCAGATGCGTTTCCCGCTTGGAGAAGCTGAGCCCCGGACCCCGACCCGTCTTCCAGAAGCCGCAGCGTCCCAGGCACGTTTTCTGATTTGAGTTCCAAATGCTCCTAGTCCCCACCGCCTTTTTTCCAAAATGATATTAGGTGTTAGGCGGGATGCTGCGTGACCTGCTGCTCCTGTTTCTTCTAAAAGTTCTCTAGCTGTATTTCAAAAATTGAGAAAAACGGAGCCCGGCCTCTGCGACCTTCGGGCAGCCTCTCAGGCCTCGTGGGGCAGTTTGGTCAGGATCTTCGCGCCTCGAGATGTGATGAGAACTGTGTGCTCGAACTGGGCGGACCTGAAACACAGAGCAGCGGTCAGGACGCAAGCCAAGCGCCCGCTCGGCCACCACGAGCAAAAGTAGCTCGCCAGCGCCGTCAGACCTCTTTCCTTCCCGAACAATTTAAAAGCAACAGGGCAGAAAGCAGACACCTTTGATTGTCTATGGAGACCACAGTCCATGCATCCTCCAGGACTTTAAATTCAGGGGATCCCTCGGTG